AATAAAATTTTATTTTTAATGTTAAGAAATGTTTCAGTCCATTAAGTCGTATATATTTCTTACCAACAGACAAACTGTTAAATGCACTGCTAACACAGAGAAGCTTCACAAGGAAAGGAACGGCAGCTTTTGAAAGTACCAAATTTTGCGTCACGCTTGAACAAATAGGGAAATCAAAAAGCAGCCGGAATGTGCGGTAAAAAAATTAGAAATATCTATTCTTTTCAAAAAACGCCAACAAAAAAAAAACAATTACTTCGCATATTCCAACGCGGCCACTGGATTTCGTCTTTTCAGTGCACAGTCCACTGCTACTTCAAACATCTGATTTTCTTCAACCATTAGAGCATTTGCAATTCGGTGAAGCTGCAACAGAAACTGGCAATGGCAAACAACAAGAAATCAAAAAATTTAATAAAAAATACTTAGTGAATTACCCAATTGGAATTAAGCAGTTATTATTGTCAACTTTCAAAAAAAAGGCGATGGGACGGAAAATTCTTGAAAAGCCGGCAAAGATGCCGCCACAAAAAGTATATAATGCTTGTGGGAAAGGCAAAAATAATAAAAAAGCACGTTGCTCAAATGCAAATGCACAGTAGATGTGCTGCCAGGTGAGCCACAAGCATGAGGGTCGGTAGTGTAGTGGAGAATACGTTGCGACCGGATGTGAAGAGGAATGGTTCGATTCTCTTAGCGGTTTATAATCGTTTGCAAAACAGAACTCTGCCCAAGGCACACAAAAAAAAAATTCAGAGCATTGGTCAACAAATGAATCTCTAGCCTGATAATCTAATCTTTATTATTGTGAATTATCGCGTAAATAACTTAGAAGAACGAAAATAACTTATAGGCAGCTCCCAAAAGATGAATGTGAATACGTAAGAGAGGAAAAACGTTTTGGAGATATGCTGATCAGGACATCAGGGACAAATACAGCTGGGGTTCTTTATGTGGAAGGCTCTCAGTTTCGTCCAGAATCCCACAGCAATAGTTTGGGCGATCTCATCCTTACGAGCAATACCAAAAGAAAACGAGATATTCAAATGGAAAAATCTTAAGAAATTCAAAAATTTTCAATTGAAACAGGTAAAAGATTAGCTTGTGAAGTTTTTCAAATGGGAAGAATTTTACATCAGTGATTTTTGGTGGAACATTTATGTCGTCGAATCGGGCTTGCACAAACTCCTTCAGTTTTTCCAATTTCCAGTTGCTGTCTTCCAAAAATGACAGTTGAACATTAATGCCGTAGTCAAGCTGCAGCTTTCGAACTGCTTTTAATTTCAATCGCAATTCCTCATCCTGAAATTCATAAAGGAGGCATTCGACGAACCACAGTTGTGGTAATGGTAAGAAATGTATACGACTTAATGGACCGAAACATTTCTTACTGTTATTATAATTTCACAGATTTTTTAATTTTTCAGTTTTACATTCCTTATGTTCTTTTTTAATTCTTCTGCTTATTTTATTCCTTGTTAATATACCTTCCTATTCATCATATGAACATAACAACCTCACTGCATAATCGTCATTTTCTACTGCCCATCAGGGGACTATTTCTGTTAGCGGCAACTCCGTTAAAAAAGAAAAAAAAAAAACAAAAATAAAAAATTAACCTTGTTAAAACGCTCCAAGACGTACAGTACCGCTTCTATTATTGGAAGTTGAGTTTTACAGTCCATCTGCAAGAATTTTCAATTTGGTAAGATATCAAGAGAAAAAAAATTCAGTTTTCAGGATTTTTAAAAGCAAAAGAAAACTAATCTCAAGAAGATTTGTAAAATATCCTAGCATTTTTTGTTGAAATAAACAAAATAAAAGATACCTCTGTTTTCAGCAAAAAAGGACTACTTAAAACCGCTTCCACATAGGATTTAAGATGCGCGATCACTCGATCTCGGTCTGCCTCGCTTAGATCATTAAGACATTGAAAAACATCCACAAACTGTAAAAAAATTGAATATAGATTTGAGCAACATAAAATTAACACCAGCGTAAACATTCCCCTTTCCACGTCTGATACACTAAGTGCTGCTCGTATAAAAGGAAAAGATGCAAAAATAACCCTAAAGAGGTAAAAAAGCCAGCCGAAAAAATAGAGAAATTGGCTAATTCAGCGTAAAAATTCAGCCGAAGCATTGAATTTCTTACAAAAAATCAACTACCAGGCCTTAATCACTACAAAGACTGGTAAAAAATTACATTAGTAGAAAGGTATTTTGAAATAGGAAGAGGAGTGGAAGAGAAAAAAAAATATTAAATCAGCGAAATTTATATGCCGATATTCTTCTACACAGTCAAATAGATTCTAAAAATAAAAAAAAATAACGAACCCATTGCTCGTCTCCCTTGGTTTTGATTAGATAAAAGCAATAATGAAAAATGCATTCGTGGCTTTCCATCAATCCTTTGTGTAGTTTGTTCGCTAATTCAGTTATCTGAAAACTTCACAAAACATCAGCAAATCCAAAAAAAGCACCCCACTATGGCAAGCTTAGTTCCGAAGAGTGGAGAAATTGTCAGATGCATCGATGGTAAGAAAAGGAATAAATAGCAACGACTAGCCAGTGCGATCATGCTTTTTATACAATTCAGCCCATCGAACGATCGCCTATTAATGATTTTCACTGCTTTGTATTTTAGTCTATGCAAAAATAGTTAAAACATTGGAAAACAGTTAAAAATTCCACGCACCAGCGCATGAAAGCCGAATTCGAAACCTTGAAGGATGAATATTTTTCCGTGATTCCCGAGTTAATAGTTTACCCGCCAAAATTTTCACGAGGCCGTAGGTGGTGCTCGAGAGTGCGAGAACGCTGAATTTGAATAGGCAAGATTGAGCAGGAGCAGTGAAGTCATTACCCTAAAATGTCAGCCTCCTAGACTTCGTGGTTCCCGAAATATTAACTTACCCGTAAAAAACTTTCACGGGGCCCTACGCGTTACCAGCAAGTACGGGGAAGCTGAGTTTGAATTTGCGGGGTCACACGTGGATGAGGAACGTTACCCTAAATTTTCAGCTTCCTAGCTTTTGTGGTTCCCGAATTGAAAGTTGCGGACAAGTTGCTGCAGACACACACACACACACAAACACACACACAGATAACCCCGTGACAATGTGCGTTTTGTACTGTTGTTACATAGCACAAAACGCATAATAACGAAGAATAATTAGCGGCGGTACCTTCAAAGCATCGGCAAGGATTCGTTGTGGTTCCGTTTCCATGGAACCCTGTCGAAATATGAATTCAATTGCCTTCGAGAATGTATGCGTGTGCGTCAAATACAGCTCAAGTGTGTGGAACGGAATCTGATAACGCATCATCATTTCACCCAGTGCAGCAACGTCACATTCACGCTGTAGACGAGATGCCCTGCAGAAATAATCAAATTTTCAATTCTGCTTTGAAAAATCGAATATTCTAAGCCTTAAAAAAATATTCGACATGATATGCAGGAAAAGCAATAGTCATTTCCAGCATAACAGCAGTTATTCAACTAGAAATATTCAAAAAACGATTGAGCTGCTACGAAAATAAAGCCAAAAATTCTAGCAAATCGATGTTTGCATGGGCCGTTTGTATTAGCTAGGGCTACAGGTCGGGATTCGGAAGGCATTGGGATGCCGAAAATGCCAGATTTCGAGCACTAAAATCTACTTGATTCTTGCTGTCTACCAGTGAATATTTTGAGTACCCCC